GTAGGTTGCGCATGAGATCACGGCTAGTGTGACATCACCACACTCAAGTACAAACAGATAACAGTCACAGCTGACTGTCCACAGTGCGTGGACCTGCAAGAAGACCACACTTTTCTCGGGCCATTATCTCCGTAACCGTTCAACTTTGGACATAGGTGTTTTGGGTTATATCGGCATACTTTAACATAAGGAACACCCTCCCGAAGTTTGGTCCATTCCTCCTGGGACAACCTGTATGCAGCAAGCAGCACCCAGAGTTGGCCGAATGTTATATATATATGCAGCACGACATTTGCTCTCTTTGGGAGTGCTGACAGTTTGACCTTGGGTTTGAAAGCAAAACAAACCCATGTAAGGTCATGTCAGTGGTTCACTGATTAGCTCTGAATAATGAAATCATTTATCACAGTACTGGTTTCGATACTACTTACGTTTAGATGACTGTTTATGACCTGGTCAGCCAAATATAGCCCAGCTTTGTTTCGAGAACTGATGAGGAAATATTCATCGGTGCTTGCATATGCGTGCTTCCAGAGCCTTCAAGCAAGTGTGATGCATTCAAGAACTGGTTTTCAGTGGCGAATTATCAGTTAGGAAGTCAGTGTTGGATTGTCTAATATTTCTTTATCAGTTAAAAAGTCAGAGTCAGACTGTCTTATATTTCTTTGTATATCATTTTTATTTTGTGTCTTGGAAGAGGTATAAACCCACTGAGCCAGTATTACTTTGTGAGTAAAAGGCATCTTCGCCACTGCGACTTTAAGTATCAGTGTCGGACTGGCACTCTTTTCGACTAGTATTATAATTACTTTGCATCACTATTTTGCGAGTATTAGTAATAGGTGAGAGTGAAAGGAAGACAGAGTAAAAACAGATGGACATGAAGGTATGAAATGGATAAACATATGGAAGACTTGAGGTGAGGGAGCTGTTTTAACTTGAAGGAGACATAGGAAAGGAGAAAGAAGGGAACAATGATAGCATGGACAGAGAAAGAGAAGGAATTAGATACCAGAAAATGAAGGGAAATGATATCTCCCATCAGATTTGATGAATAATGTATGTAACCAATACGTCCGCACCCCAAAACAGTTTTTGAAATTGTAGTGCAGTTGCAAACACTCTATAAAGAGGTGGAAGACGGGTAAGGACAGCAAATGGAATTTGCTCAGACATTGTGCTTAACACATGACTCAGAAGTTGGTGTTGAACGTGCATGTTCAATATGGGAAATTTTGGCTGAGAAACTATGGAAAGCTGAGGAGGCGCCAGGAAACGAATGGAACTAATTAACACTCATGTCCAATGGCAGGCTTTGGTATCAGCAGCACTGAATGTTTGTTGGAGAAGGATAAATGCATACAGAATTATGGCAGGGAAACCTTCTGGAGAAAGGGCACTTGGAAAACCTAGGAGATGGGAGATCAATACTAGTTTTTGCTGTCCTTACCTGGTGAAGGTGCCACTGATGGAGGTTTGCTGACTGTCACCAAGTTGTCCAGGTTCACGAGAGCAGAGTTCTCACCCAGGAAACTATGAGGAGTCCTCTTCTGCTGCTGTTTGTTTTCCAATGAATCTCCCAGCAGACTCATATCAAAGGGATCTGGTGACACTGTTCCACCTGCATGTACCATATTCACATTGTAACTTTTATCTTTCCACCTGTTTCATGCTTCCATTCTGGAGGGGGCAAGAATTAATTGGATTTTTATTTCCTAACACAATTTCATATGCTCTCACTGGATTTTTAAACACAAATTCAATTTCACCTCAGACAGTGATATGATAAAATCTGAATCTCAAATGCACATAAAAGGTGTGGAAAAGTATGATAACACAGCAGCCAACCTGAGCCTGATGAATATACAAAACTTCTAGAATGAGGACGAACAAATTTTTCAGAAATGTTACATATTCACTGCAACACGTCAGTTCAGCTGTCTGTCTCCTAAGCCACGTTCAGAACTGTTTGGAATGCATGCCTGTATTTCCAGATACATAATAGAATTGAATACAGTTGAAAGGAACGCATACAGAATTGCAGCTTTTTTTTTGGGAGGTATAATGTAGGTAAAATTGTATAGCATACAATGGAACCCCCATCTAATGTTCCACAATGTAAGGTTTTCTACCATTTAATGTTTAATTTCAGTGACTCCAAATCAATAATTTCGGCATTCAACTACCTCAACTTACAATTTTTCTCAGTTCAATGTTCAAATTCACTGATCTCTAACAAAACCTTCAATGAGGGTTCCACCATACTTGAGTAAATATGATATAAGGAATAAGACTAGTAAGCACACTCTCAAAAACTAAATAAAGAATTAAAATAACTAACCATTATTGTTGAGTGAGTTAACATTGTTGACCTGGGAACTGTTCAATGCTGGTCTCTCTCTGTTAGTTATAACATCAAACTCATCCAAATCTCCTCCACTGGGGCTTGAGAGGCCAGCTCTCGGACTGGCAGTACCAGGGCTGGAGTGATCAGTATTTGTACTGGGTGACCAGGGATCATTTGCAGGTAGAGCTGGCCGTGCTGGAGGTTGTGGTGACACTGCACGCCATGGGTCCACTACTGCCGGTGGTTTGTGATGGACAAGTTCTACTGCAGAGGAAGGTACAGGAGTCCATGGGTCTACTGCTGGTGTGGGAGATGCTATTGTTGAGGCACTCGGCACTGAACTTGCTGGACTACTCCAAGGATCATTCTATTAGACAGACAAAATATGTTCCATGATGAACCTCTGCACAAGTGATTATAAATACTATTATCAGGTAGATTCTGAAGGGTTCTGATGGTGTATAACACTCAGAACTACTGGGTTTTTGGACTTTGTCCATTGTTTGGTATTCTAAAAACTAGAGAAGGCTTAATATTTCATGATGCTGTTAGTAGCTAAACTACACAGCATCAATGGTAGAATGACAGATATATGTCAAACGAATAAGTGGGAATCAAGCAATCTGGGCCTAATTTGAGGCACTATCCCAGAATTTGCCTACAGGGTTTGAGGAAAGCCACAAAAAATCTGTCAGAATAGCTGAGGTCCCAACTGAGATTCAAACCGAGCACCTCCAGAATATAATCATTATGCCAACCCCCTTGGTTACAAAAGAATAATGTATATCATAGAACTGACCACTTGCCACATTTAACTCATGAGAATATAGTGAGAATAAATGTTCTCTGGTACTTTCAAAGTACTGTCACATGACAAGACTATACAGATGGGGTTTGGATTGGTAACAGGATTTATTGAACTCTCATAGATCTGTGACTACAAGTAATTATAACCACTTCACTAATTCACACACTTTACAGTTCACTAGAGCACAAACCTAAGTCTTATTAATTATAAATATGTCTCGGCTATATCAGTGTTACTTAAAAGTTCTTGACCTCTCTTACTTGTTCATAAGCATCTGATGTAATACGAATCAGCACACCCCATACATAAATGGAACTAACACGTCCCATGCCTGGTGCGTCATAAATGCATAAAAGGAAGTGCAGTAGCGAAATGGCTGTTGCTATGCCACTGTGTGGCATTTACAGCAAGCAAGCATACTTTTAACGTTTCCTCCAGAGTGTGTTGGGACAATAAAGATGAAAGACATCTGATCTTGCTGAAGGTTCTTAAATGTTTTCTGTAACTATTAGAAGACATTAAAGTTCTATTTAGTGAAGAAAATTAATTAGTCATTTTGAAGATGCAATATGAGTGTGATCTGACCCTGACATATCCTTAGACATCTCAGTCACCTAAATAGCAAGCTGCAAGCGAAATGCCAACTTCTCAATGAACTTACACCAATATATTGGCCCTTCCACATGAAATCATCATTTCATTCACAGATCTGAATAACAACACTCGTCACTTTACGAACTGCCACAAAATATTTCAGCAATAGGAATTAATATTGGTCAGTACACCACAAACACTGAACAGTCCCAGCAATCATTTACACACAGATTTGAAAATTCCACCTGAACTTCTCTGCAAAACAGTTCCTATTAACAACAATATAATAAAACATCTGGTTATACTTTTACAAAGTCTACATTACACAACTAACACAGAGAAGTGAGTTTGGCAACATGGCCCCTTGAAAAATACTGCATCAACATTCTACACTACTAAGGAATTTCATTGTGCTTCATATTGGTCCTATCTGTGTGCCAATGAAGCTGGCATAAAACTTTATTTTTTTTTTGTAAAATATATTAGCATATAACATAAAATATAAAGACCATCAAGAATTCAGATTTTATTTCATAATTTTGATATAATAGATATTTAGCAATATATGTGGAGAAAATGTTTTATTATTTTGTGTGGTATCTACATTGTTATTTACCTTGAATTAACAGATATGTATCTACAATGTATTAACATCATGACACATGAAGTATGCAACACGAAGAATTAATCTGAAGAATATGTGTACACCATTGCAGCACACTTTCCTTCTCTTGTTAAATACAAATTCATGTTTTGCTGATATCAAATGTTTGCAGCAGTGTGTGCCACACTTAGTTAGTTATTAGAGAGGGTGGATTTCCCCATGCACTGAGACCTGTATTGGTCCATTGTGCTTCCCTCTATGATTTCTACCAGTCTCTATATCCTACCAGTACTGGTGCTTACCATCAGTCCCGCCCAGCCAGCGAGACCGCTCTACTAGCTGAGGTATCTATAATGCTTCCCCCATCTACCAGAGGTATTAGAGACTGCTGTTGGGCGGGAAACGTCCGTTAATTTGGCTCAGTGACCTCCTTTGGAGATATGAGGTTCTTTTATGTGCCGTAAAGCTACGACACGGGACCCACGGCTTAAAGTCCCTCCCAGAGGACTTGTTCCCTGAATTTTTCTGCCCTTAAAAATTCGACGACCTCCACCGGGTATTTGAACCCGTGTACTATGACTCATGAGGTGGGAACGTTACCTCTAGACTACAGAGGCCGCTGCGTGCCACACTTACCTGTGGTCTGGTTGGGGGCGACTGTGGGACAGGTTGTGGGAAGCCCCACGGGTCCAATGCAGCAGCATGTGGTGGATGGGTGGAATGGTTCCCTAGATTCACGTCTAGAAGGTCCAGCATGTGACTCTGTTTTTCCGAACTAGCTTTCCCTTGAGAATGATGATACCTACTGAGTGAAACAGTATGTTAACATACTTACTCCAGATAATAATGACACAAAGGCCATCAATTTATATATATCTATATATATATATATATATATATATATAACATAAATAACATAAAATGTACACACCCTGGGAGTTAACAGCTTTCAATAACATCTGATACTGAAAGCCTACATTCAAAACTGTTCGCAGAATTTAAACTTGGTGAATATTGGTCAATAAATAACTCACTTTACACGACATAAAAGAGACAAAAAATGCAACACTTCTGTAGGCAATGGAGGGCATCAATGCTATGAGGAAATACCTCATGAAGTTTTAACATTAACATGATGGCAGACCTCAGTAATAATAAGAATAAGGTGTACAGGGTTCAGCCGAAAGCAAAGCAGCAGCAACACATTTTCATATACATGTGCAAGTAATTAACTAGATCACATATGTAATGTAACAGAGTATTCATTTAATGCATTTAATTTCAGCAACTACATACGTTTTCATTTCTTTCATTTTACATTCATTTTGAATGGTCCCTTCTGAAATATAAAATTCAGTGTCACTGCATATACACATTAAATATCCAAATTCGTGTCAACTTCTTGCTTACTACTACTTGCATACACTAAGCCAAACATGATACTGATTTCTGATGAAAACAGACCAAAGAGCACAAAGAAAAAGCTGCTATCAGAATATTTTAAATCTCTAAGATTGAAATATGATATCTTAGCATCAAACTGTGCATGTGAAATTTCTTTATTATATATTCATCATTTCTTACAACACATTTCAACTCATTATGTCATTATCAGGTATTTTATACATATTACTGAAAAATCAGCATTCTAATATGTAAACACTAGCCAATGTAGGAATACTAGCAAATGAATACTGGCAAATGTAAAAATTCAAATACTTCAAAATTGAAAACTGAATGTCTGACTCAAGACTGAATATTTTTCATTGTAATTCAATCATAAAATCTGACTCAAACATGCCTAATTATACACGCAGATGAATGAGCCAAGGAATGGCTCTCAAGGATGATTACCAAGCTCAGAACTTAGGAGCAAGCCATCCAGCAAGTTATGGAGACTCCCTGCCTTCCAAACTCCCAACAAATGGTGGCATGTATTCCTCAAGCACCAAAGGAGGGAGATGGCTGCCAAAGGCAGAGACCAGACCTGAGGTTGGCTTATGGTGTATCTACTGCCATGGTTCCAGCAGCCTTACTATTATACGTGGGTCATTTCATAAATAATGCACAGGTTGGCAACACTGCGGATTAGATGATGCAACAACAGTGAGCCTCACATCAGTTACAGTTCAGGGCTTGAGAAAGAAGCACGTCATTTTGTTTCATTTATAATGTACTCTGTTCTTAAATAACGTGAGTTAGAAATGGAGCCTGTACGGTTCTCAGGTATTGTGACTGTTGAAGATCAAAGGTCATACATTAAGATCGAAACTTTACGTGGAAAAAACCCGACAGAAATCCACAGTGCTTTAAGTGAAGTTTGTGGCGAGTTAACAGTGGACCGTAGTACAGTCTTTCGCTGGGCTAGTCGTTTTCGTGGGGGTCGTGTAAGCATAAACGACGATCCAATGCCAGGAAGGCCGAAAACATCAACAGATGAATGAAGCGTGAAACTTGTGTCAGATGCTCTTGAAGATCATTGTGTGACATGCGAGGAACTTTCTGAAACCATGGAGATTCCATCACTGTCAATATTCTGAATTCTGACAAACGATTTAAAGAAGAGAAAGATTTCTGCACGATGGGTCCCTCAATGCTTGACTGCTGAACAGAACCAGAAATGCCTCAACATTGCAACCTGGCTGAAACAAAGATTCGACGATGAAGGTCAAGCATTCTTGTATCAACTTGTCGCTATTGATGACACGAGGGTTAGAGACTTTCAAAGCGGCCTCCGTAGTCTAGGGGTAACGTTCCCACCTCATGACTCAAGGTACGCGGGTTCAAACCCGGTGGAGGTCATGGAATTTTTAAGGGCGGAAAAATTCAGGGAACAAGTCCTCCGGGAGGGACTTTAAGCCGTGGGTCCCGTGTCGTAGCTTTACGGCACGTAAAAGAACCTCATGTCCTAAGGAGACCACTGAGCCAAATTCATGACATTTCCCGCCCAACAGTAGTCTCTAACGCCTCTGGTAGATGGGGAAAGCATTGAGATACCGCTGAGCCAGTAGAGGCCAAACGTGCTGGCTGAGTCGGGACTGATGGCACGCACCAGTACCGGTAGGGAATGGAGACTGGTAGAATATCATAGGGGGACGCACAATGGACCAACAGCTGGTCGAAGTGCATGGGGAAACCCACCCTCTCCAATACAATACAATACAACAGACTTTGAACCAGAGCTGATATCACAGTCCAATGAGTGGAGAGGTCCATCTTCCCCACGACCAAAAAAATTTTGACCATCTCAATCAAAGGTCAAACAAACGATGATCTTTACTTATGGTCACCATGGAATCATCATGACAGACAGAGTTCCATGCGGGAAAAGTGTCACAGCAGATTATTATCGTGACTTTATGCAAAATCTGAACAGAAAAATGCACAAAAACCGACCTCAGTTGCTCGAGGCTGGGCCGATCATTCTCCATGACAATGCTCGCCTGCACATCGGGAATGTCATAACAGAAAAGGTGCGCCAAAACGGTTGGGAGGTGTTGCCTCATGCTCCTTACAACCTGAACATGAGTCCACCAGACTTCGACATATTCCCAAAGTTGAAACAACCTATGCGAGGCCGTCGTTTTCCCTCTCTGGAAGAGCTTTCTGCTGCAGTTACCCAAGCCATTCGACAGATAAACAAACATGATGTCCTGGATGGAATAGTAAAGCTTCCCACACGTTGGAACTCGGTCATTGAGAAGCAGGGGGACTATATTGAAGGACTGTAGAGATATATTAAAAAAATTAACATGGACATAAACAAAAAATTGTGTGCATTATTACTGAAATGAACTACGTATGCAACAGACAGTGTTTGTTTGTCTTCACGAAATGCCATGCCATAGCTCAGGTGATTAGTCACCAGCTTCCCATCGTGACAGCACAGGTTCAATTCCAGGTGGGATTTGTGGTAGACAAAGTGGCACTGGGGCAAGTTTTCTCCAAGGGCTTCAGTTCCCCTGCCAATTGTCATTCCACCGACTACTCCCCACTCCTCCTCATCATCTACCATTTGGGGCTAGTACAACAGGCCAAATAGTGTCCAATATAACAAGTGGACTCAGTCTCACCCCACCCCAAGGAACTAGTCTTCAAGTATGAAAGGGCAATGACCCTCAAAGGAGAAAAAGAAGAGCAAGGACAAGGCGATGAAGAAAGAACAGGAAGGATAGGGTAATGAGAAGAAAACAAACTTACTTAAACTCCTCTTCACTCTGTGAGAGTGCCAGCTGAAGTCTCACATCATCACTACGTCTTCTCTGTTCTTCCTGCTCTGCCTCCTCTCGAGACATGGCAAGGGCTAACTGAAGCTGTAACTCCTCTTCCCCAACAGTCTGTGGGCGGGCTGTTTCCAACTCTGGAACAAAGTCCAGTTCAATAAGCTCAGAACATGTACTTAGATACCCATGACTGTTCATTCTACAGCATATATATAAATCCTACAAGTAAAGCCTTTATTTGGGGAGGGAAGGGTAAATGGTAAGGAATACAGCTTTCCTTCTTACAACTCATACCAGTATGAAGAATAAGTATGATATAAACAAATAAAAACTGCAGTTTTGAAAGAATATGTGTACAACGAATATTAGGAAACTATAAACGAATTTACGAAAATCTGCAAATAAGTAAACATAAAGAAAAAAACTGACACTAACACATAAGCAGCCACACATGAAGATCCAGTGAGAGCCTCAGCGAAAGTGCAAGCCACCACAATAAGATTGATGACTGGGCAAAGAAATGGAGAGTTAAAATACATAAAAAAAAATCCACACATATTACTTTCACCTTATGCAACCAAACCTGTCCGACTATGCAAAGGAGCAGAGCAATGTTGATCTACCCCAGAAAAATGATGTGAAATACCTGGACATGCATCTCAATAGAACACTGACATGGGCAAAGCAAATTGAATCCAAAACCTAAAATCCCCAACCTAAAAGTGGAACAAATGCACTGGGTACTCAGAAATAGAGCAACAATATCAATAAAAAGCAAGCTACTCCTATACAAAGCAGTACTCAAACCCATATGGACACTTGGAATTCAGTTATGGGGGACAGCCTTTAATTCCAATATTGAAATCCTCCAGCACTTTCAATCCAACACTCTGATTCGTTCGGAATGTACCTTGGTACATAAAGAACAACAGGATCCATGAAGACCTACAAATGAACACAGTGATCAGTGAAATGAAAAGTGGAATAGCAAATACTTAAGAAAATTAGAAAACCACACTAATGCACTAGCAGTGAACCAACTAGACAATAGGAAAACTACACAGACTGAAAAGACACACAGTCCTAACTCTACTATACAGACCTGAGTAAAATCTTAATACAAGAATTAAAATAATACCCAAGTGAACAAAAGAAAAGTATGCAAGTTACATCAATGGACATAACTAATTCACGAGCCAGTAATTACTGAACATATACACTTATTGTAGAATCTGCAGATTATGTATAATAAATGTGTGGAAAAAAAAAACTACACATAAGAAGAAAACTTGTCTATATGGAAATGATGCATACAATTTATTTACAAACTGCAACATTCAGGTTGGAAATACTTTGAATAAAGGACAAAAACAATATTTAAAAAGATGATGAATGAACGAATGTATGAGGGGTGGGCCATAATAATCCAGCCCTTGCACCATGACCATCAATGATCTACTGTGCTTCCCCTTTGATTAACCCTTTATTAATCCTACACTTCGAATGAAATGTAGGGCTTTGTTTATGGGAGTGTCATAGTAGTCACATGGTTTCATAAAGAACTGGCCCAGGCGATGAAATCTTAAATCAGCAATGGCCTCACAATCACATATGACATGTGTGGCTGAATCTTCACCATCTAGGCACCTTTCACAAGTGGAGTCGACTGTCAATCCCAGTTTGAAAAAGGTGTCCTTTTAGGCGAGTGTCCTGTAAATAGTCCTACCATACATCTTAACTGGTCTCTGTTTAACTTCAACAAATCCTTCATTCTTCTGGCAGAGGACCCTAGTACAAGTTCCTTTTCCTCTTTGAGTCCAACTGTGGATTCCCAATGTTTTTTGTGATTTCTGTTCGTCCAGTCCCTGACCACTTTCTTGGCAACTCCAATTGAGATGCCGCAAGTTGGTTTGGGTCCTATGAATGGCTGTTCAGATCCTGTTCTTGCCAGCTGATCTGCGGTTTCATTCCCTGCAGTACTCTCCTACTGAGATGCCGCAAGCTGGTTCAGGTCCCATTCTTGCCAGCATCTACCATTTCATTACCAGCAATAACCTAAGGGCCGCGCCATAGCTCAAGCGGTTAGTTGCTGGCTTCCCACCGCGGCGGGTTTTCTCCAAGTACTTCGGTTTCCCCTGCCAATGTTCATTCCACCACATTCTCCATCATCATAACCACCTGGGGCAGGCTACAATAGGCCAATCGGTGATCTCGATGCTAAGTGGACCCAGTTGGACTCCACCCCCCACTAAGTGAATTAAAAAATTAAATTAAACAATACCCTCATGACCTTGTACCCATATCAGCTGAACTGTTTCTTTGGCCAGTTGTATGAGGGATTGGTGGCAGTCCCAGACCAGTTTTGAGATGATGCAGTATTTGCCACATGCTCTAATTGCAGCTTGACTGTCTGGTAGAACACAGACGTCCCCATTTTTATAGTTTCTGTCTAGATTCTGAATTGTGCATGCTTTAATGGTGTACACTTCTGCCTGGAATACTCTTGTGTACTGCCCAACAAGAAGACTAAATGTATTATCACACAGGGGCTGAAAGCCAGAACAGTAAAGTCAGAAGAGACAGCTGTTGATATGCAAAAGATGGGAAGACACATCTCCTTGGTTACAGATATGAACATAACAATACAGAATTGTTGGAAGCAGTGTTTTCTATGCAGGCCATGCAGGGCTATACAGGGAGAGCCCAGAGACAGAAGCAGACAGTCACAGCCAGTGAGCAGCCAGTTGAGGTCCAGTTGTGAGATGGTAGCCAGCCAGCAACGATGTAAGCATGGACGTAGAGGACACTGATGGGATCTTTTACTAGGAAAAAGATAGTGAAGACAAAGAAGACTTAGTGTGTGCCACAGTGAGAAGTAAATTATGTGAATTAGCGGCAGCGCTATAATTATTTGTAGCTACGAGTTTTATGAGCCCAATAAATCCAATTACCAATCCAAACCCTGTGCTTAGTCATAAAACATCTGACAGTATTACACAGGGTGAGTCTTTATTACATACCTTAAACATAAGCACCGTGTCCTACACTTATAGACAAACAAGAACTTTCATATAAATACATGCTCACAAGAACTTCATCAGTGAGATATGGCAAAAGGAAACACACGGAAAGAAAAGTACATAAACAACGCAGCTGTGGGCAGTTCCCACAATGTGTTTGTCAGACATGAACAGAATGGCATCTGGGTAGTTACTACCACTTTACAACAGATACTGAAATGGTTTATCATTAAAGTCAATGCATAACTGAGCCCTTTTGTGCCAAGAATTCATTGTCCACTTAAAGACTTCAGGCATGTCACGTATTGCTGTTTGAGTCACTTCAATGGCATTCCATGGCTTGTCCTTCATGTGACATCACTGGTGTAGATGATGCTCTTCAGATGGCCTCCCACATAGAAGTTGGCAGGAGTGAGCCTGGTGACCGCCGAAGCCACACAAATGGTCCGTTTCGTCCTACTCATTGACCTGGACAGTGCCTCTCTAAATAACACGACATTGCAGGAGCCCCATTATGCAGCACCGACAATGACTGCCAATGAATGGTACATAATACAGCATTTGAGGGCATCTTAGTCCATGTGTAGCATGCTTCATCCATCAAACATACTAAGCTGAGAAAGTCTGGTGACACTGCAGTAAACATTCACAGAACATTTTCCAAGTCTCATAATCAAGTGCCTGTTGCACATCTTGAACATGCTTATGTGGAATGTATATAAGAGCTGATCATACAACACCCTCATCACTGTTTGCTGCGAAATGTGATGGTGGGCCAACTGCCCCTTCCTTTAGCAGGGGATCATTATATGGCACATAGAACATCTTTCACATCAGTACTCCTGAGACTTTGTGCTCTACCAGCATTTGTCATACTTGGCTACATACAACCTGTTTCCAGCAGACAAACATTCCAGAGAAATGAATGTCCTGTGATCCGGATGCTGTTGTTGGGGATACTTCCAAAAGAACACACATTAACCCTTTGACGTGGTCATTTAAATTCCGCGGCCGCGGCTCCTGCGGTAATATATTCAGCCGGCCATTTAAATTTTGCTCGAAAATTATTTATTCATCATTGTTCTTAAATTCTATGAGATAGGAACATGAAACTTTCACTAAAATGATCTTAAAAGGTGGTTTTATAACCTTACCTTATAATATGAACACCCTTTATATCTTCAATGGAAGCAGGTTGTTTAGTATTTGAGCAGTGAATGGTACGCTTTGAAGGATGAAACTTTCACTAAAATGATCTTAAAAGATGGTTTTATAACCTT